CCCCAAAACCCCAAAACCCCAAAACCCCAATTTCCTTTACTGGGATTGCAAAATATAATTATAAATGTCTAGAACTCCTCTAGTCCACACGAGTAACTCATCATTTGTTAAACTGCCTGATATCGATAAGGGGGACAAGAGTAGACTCATGCTTGAAAATTTTGGTGTGAAACAGCGCAGTTACAGCAAACTCAAGGTACATGACAACAGCCGTAATGCTTATGGGTCCCCACAGAAGATAAATAATCAGTAAGTTAGCCTATGCATGGTTGTTGACTGTTCTTTTAGTAAGCATCTCCAGCGGACTATTGAGAAGTATAAAGTGTATTCACCTATGAAAATCAAAGGCAAGGTAATCCTTAGCAAGCCTAAAGAAGAAATCTTTAAGTAATGAAGAAGAGGAAGAGAAGAAAGATGAAGTCTTCAGGATCAACACAGTTCATGCTAAAGGTGAGAGAAATACACTGAAGGAAGTCATTAAGTTAGAGGGGTTTAAGGAAACAAAGGCTACTGGAGAAGGCAACCTCCTGTGGTATTATTCCTCTCTCCGTGAGATAGACCTAAAAATTCTTAATTATCGACAATGTTTGTTTAACAGGTACCCCAGAGCAAGTACTATCTGAAGGAAGAGGCAATTTCATATTTTATTAAAGAAATATCAGAGGTATTTTCCTGATGATTTTGACTTTATCCCTCGCACATATTGCTTGCCTGACGAATACAAGAGCTTTAGAAAACGACTTGATAGGAAAGACGATGCCTTCTTCCTAGCAAAGCCTTCTAAGGGGAAAGGTGGCGATGGCATTTTCTTTATCAACAAAGGGACATCAATTACGAAGGAAGATATGAGAATACATGAGTATATCGCTCAGGAATATATCAAAAATCCCTTACTGATTGATAACAAGAAGTTTGATTTTCGACTCTACCTGCTCATCAAAGGTGTTGACACCATGAAAGCATACATTGCATTTGAAGGAATGGCTCGGTTTTGCACTGAAGAGTACTCCAAACCTGCAAAGGCAAAGAAGGACTCTGCCCAGGATGATGCTCTCTTGTACAAACACCTCACTAACTACTCGTTGAACAAGAAAAATGAGAATTACGTGTGAAATAATGACTTTGAAAATAACGAAAATGAGGGAAGCAAGCGGCTTCTGTCTACTATTTTTAAGTACTTAGAGAACGATGGAATCGACGTTGATGAAATCAAGGAAGATATTCGAGATATTTGCTCAAAAATAGTCTTAGCCATGCAACCATTTTTATAGTAAACTCCTTCCACACAGACATGGGTGTTGGTATGGAGACAAACCAAAACTTATTTCATATATTCGGCCTTGACATTTTACTAGATGAGGATTATAAGTCATGGGTGATGGAGATAAACTGATTCCCAAGCTTGAGTTACTTCTTCGATAAACCTGTGATTGACCCGGAGACTGAGACTGAGAAATAGCATCAAGCTAGTCTCAGATCTTGACAAGTACCTCAAACCTATAGTGGTGAAAGAGGCTATTTCCATTGTTCGTAGTGATGAAATCCCGAAAGATTCTGTCTTCGAACAGGTTTTCCCACCACAAGAGTACCCGGAGGATTACCAAGAATTCACTGTTTATAACGACATTAGGGTGCTATTTGAGATCCTTGCTGGGTTCAGGAAGCCTGATATACTAACGCTCTCTCAATTCCAGAAAATTTGTTACTTCCCAGGGATGAAAACTGACAAATTAGGGAAGCCAGAATACGCGATAATATTCGCTCAGTATGCGAAAAGAGGGAATAGATCCTTCATGACTCTGGACAACTTCGGCCACGCCTTGGAGCATTTGTGAAGTATACTATATCCAGAGGCAGGCATGAACCCTAGACCGTTGGTCTCAAAGCTGCTAGAGCATACCCAGTCCAAGGCATATTACTAGCTCTGAGACCTCAATTTGACCTTAATAATTTGGGGTTTTGGGGTTTTGGGGTTTTGGGG